TAGCCAGAACATTCAGCCGCATCCACCTCTATACGAATTAGATCAGTCAGCATAGGCGGCACATTCCTCTAGCCAAATAAAGAAAAAAAATCCAGTAAGTTGAGGATACGGATCAAGAAGCGATAATAATAATTTTGGTAGATAGATCATGTGCAGCCTAGTGTGCTGAATGAATGAAGTTATCGGAGATTTACACGATATCTATATTAAGTGGTTGTCCGATATGGTTAGGCATAAACCAAAATCTCGTATTCAGCATCAAAATATTGAGGTGAAAAGTGTTGGCAAGGGCTTGGCCATTATCCGCTAATCCCAAATGTGGATTCCTAAAAATAATTCCAGTCGTATGTGGCTCAAATGTGTGCCATCCAACCAACAGCTAAAGATGAGCTAGAATGCACTAAAAACATGCATATATCATAGAATACCTCAAAAGGGGCATAAAACATGTCTAGAGTTGATAGCTAAGGGAAATAAAAAATAATCAAGTAATAACTGAGTGGTGAAATATCTCAAAGGCTATGTTCCAAATATCTTCGATTTGTAATGCCAAAAAAATCTTACCAGTGTCGGGGCAAAGATTCGAGCCTTGGGAGGGCCTAAGTAGCGTCGGGAGGTGGCGGGTTCGGTCCATGTCGAGAGAAAACTCTGATCAATATCACCCCCTTCTTCTTGGCACCCCGAGAGAAGTGACTGAAAAGGCACAAAAAAAGAACAAAAAATGAAGATAACAATGGCAATTGAATGAACAAAAGAGATAGGTAAGATGGAAATAAGGAAAAAATGATAATATTTATTAAGGAAAACTAAAAGTAATGAGTAACCAAAGTGAGTAATTGCACAAAAGGGGCTGGGATAAATAGCTTGTAAATGAATGCATTCAAATTAAAGCATCCGCATTTAATTAGTTTATATATAGATAAGATGAGCAAGTGGGGAGAATTGAGAATCGAGAAGTGGGTAAAATAGAGTTTCTGAGATATTCCAAAGTTACAAATGCTATTCAGTATAAAAATGAGATTGATTTAATTAAAACTACTTTATATGCTCGCAGACTTAAATATATCTAAATGATTGAAAATACAAATGAAAAATCGACAATCACAGCAAGAACATGCTCAACAAAAATTCGCCTAAAATACAAGGGACCATGGTTCAGTTATATCTACTTCTCATAGCCTAATTTTGTCCATCTAAAGGAATTTCTCATAATTTGATTAATCCCTTCATGCATTCTCAACATGCAGGAGACGAATAAAGTGAATGCAATTGTAACCAAATAGCTGTATTCTTGCCTAAATCACGTGATTTTTAAAAATCCTATATTGTTGAGGTATTTAGTTTGGTTCGCTTACAAATGTGCTGTGTAATGAAATGAGAATACATGCGCAAATAAACACAATTACATGCGTCGACAGTATAAGGTCAAAAAATGCAAGTGATTTAGGAGAATGCAGCTATCCTGACACAACTTCATCCAAATTCCGCACCATTGCGAAATTTCCACATATATTTGCAGTCACTTCAAGAAGAATAAACATGAAATAGCTAACCAAATAATGAACTATCTCATTAAAAGGAAAAGTAGGAGATATGCAATAGGCATGATCGCAACTAGTCACCTTTCTTGTCTTAGTGCTTAATGAATTTTCATCAAGTACGATTTGATGCTCTTATGATGCCCTCATGAAAGAGAAGAAGGCTCCGCACGGATTAATCTGAGGTGCGGGACGATGTGCCGAGGACTTATTCGCACAGGCATATTT